TGGTAGTGGTAGTAGTAGTGGTAATAAGAAGAAGAAGAGTAGCAAGGTCCAGGACTCTGACCTGGCCACAGCACCCCTTTACGGCTTCGAATCGGGGGGATCTAGCTTACTTCTAGGCCTGTTGATTCCGACCCTCTCGTAACCCTAAACCCTGCACTCTAAACCTTAAGCACTGAACCCTAAGCCCTAAACATCCCTAAACCCTCGATCCTGAAGCCTTGGAGTCTACATTCGGCTGATCAGGATGCAAGGCTTGGGAGTGTGGTCTCGAACGTCGGCTTTCACGCTCTGGCATCATCGCCCTGTCCTCTTTGCCCTATGTGTCGTGGGTAACGGGTACATGGGCTTGCAGGAAGGCTTATAACTTATACTTCAGCAGCGGTTCGGGCAGAATATACGCAAATTCGGATGAGCGGGTTGGACAGAGGAGAACCCTAGACCCTAAACCCTAAAGACCAGCGAGCCAGCATTCAAGCCCCAACGGCATGGTTCGACCACCCGTCCCCATGAATCGAACCGGAAACCATCAAACAAACGAACTACGGTTGATGTTATAAATCCCGCATTACACATAATAAGAAATATACCATAATTCCCATAGTTTAGGGTCCTTGAAGTAATTCAGGATCTATCAACAACAGTCAGCCATAGCTTCGAGCTGCACGAACTTCAGCGCAGCAGCATTGATGCAATATCGCTTGCCTGATCGGGCACTGCACCCCAAACCCTTGACACAAGCTTAAAACCCCCAAGCTTGTTACACAAAACATTTAAATTATGGAGCTTAAAAACATCATAATCCCAATTCGGATCCCGCCTGGGGTACTTATAAGTCTACTTGTTCCCTACTTACCTAGTCCCCCGACCCGCCAAGTAGCCGTCTCACGGCCGATAGCACTATTGCAAACTCTTAGGGTCCATGTACGGAAATAGTATACATGTTGGGACTACTTTAAGAACAAAGGTTATAGAAAAACCCTAAACCCTAAACCCTAAACCCCTAAACCCTAAACCCTAAACCGTGCATGGACCCTTAAACTACCTGAACCCTAACCCTCTAAACCTCAAAACCCCCGGGAGCCTCAGCGAAAGCTACCTGAACCATCAACAGCCCTAAACCCTAAACCCTATACCCTTAGGGTTTAGGGTTTAGGGTTTAGGGTTTAGGGTTTAGGGTTTAGGGTTTAGGGTTTAGGGTTTAGGAGCATCAAAGCACTCGGCCCCAAAAGCCCTTGGGCCCAGCCCCGGCCCTAAACCTTCAAACACCCTCCTTCGAGGTTCCTTTAAGAATTCCATCGGGCTTAGGTAAAGGACCCTTAGAGGAATACCTAAACCCTAAACCCTAAAGTTTAGGGTTTATAAGTATTCCTCTAAGGGTCCTTTAAGGGTTGCCAAACCTAAACATACATCCCCTCCGTAATGTAGGGGCCTTAATCATTAGAATAGGGTTTTGGGGGCTCCTTACTATAAGTATAGTAGAATATACCCCCAAGCCCTGTTCTAATGATTAAGGCCCCTTCACCTAACCCCTGTGCCCGGTGCCTGGTAGTCCGATCCAAATCAAAAGCCTAAGTGGTAGAAGGTAGGGCGTGTACATGAGGATTGCTTTGGCTTGCATAGCTATCCTCCATATGGATCGTTGTCGGTTCTCTCGCCATCGCTGAAATTTAGGAGTGTACTTCTTCCGAAAGAAATGAAACCCTAAACCCTAAACCCTAAACCGTAAACCACTTAGAATTTCAGGGTTTAGGGAACCCTAGGCCCTAAAGCGTTTAGAATAGGAGCCGTAACATTGGAGCAGGGTGTTGGGGCTACATTATACTATACTTTCAACAAAGAACCTCAACATCGGGTAAGTAATTATTTAGGCCCCCTGTCTTAACCAGGCCTGTAGGCGGAGGACCGTCATCGAAGACATGGCCAAGGTGTGTTTCCGAGGCACGGTCAAGGACCTTCCAAAGGCTTAAACTTGCAGCGTTGAGGGTTTAGGGCTTACATGGCAG